CAAGTGATTCTCCTGTCTTGGCCTCCTGAGTAGCTGGGACTACTGGTGCCCACCACCATGCTCGGCCAATTTTTTCGGGATTTTTTTTTGGGGGGGTATTTTTGTATTTTTAGTAGAGATGGGATTTCACTGTGCTGGCCAAGCTGTTCTCAAACTCTTGACCTCAAGTGATGCACCTGCCTCAGACTCCCAAAGTGCTCGGATTACAGGCGTGAGCCACTGTGCCCGGCCTGGGTAAGGTTTCTTTAAGGAGTCCGATGGGTGGGACTTGGATGGGTTGGGGGGTGGGGGCACTGACGAAGGGGAAGGAGCCAGCGAGGCTCAGCTGTGAGCTCTTGAGGAGGCCTTCCAGTTACAGAAAAGCAAGAAGGCCGGAGAGGTAAGTTGGATCCCAGAGGAGAAACTGAGATTTCTTCTTGGGTAAGGGTTACTCTAGAGGTGTTTCTTGACAGGGAGAAATCACACACACACACACACACACACACACACACACACACACACACTTCAGTTTGATCTAAGAGAAGTCAGGTTACAGTGCACAGCCAGGGCAGCTCAGAAGGAAATCCCTAGGGGGAGTCTGTGGGCAGGGGTGGTACAGGACAGACCTGGGTGGCCCAGCTGATGAGATTACACAGATGTCAGGAGCCTTTCAGCCTTAGCCAAGGAGTCTTTTGCTTCCTTGCTACCAACCCTCTCTCCTCAGGGCCTCATTGGGGCCTCCCTAGGGCCCTGGGTCAGGGGATGTGAAATCTGAGGTTTTCCAGGAGCTTGGGCCCTGCAAGGAGGGAAGCTTCTTTACCTCCACTGCCCCAGCCTCTCCCCCAGGCATCCCATAGCAGCCCCGGCTCTATGCCTGCTTCCACTCTTGCCCCCTTTAGCTATTCTCAATATAGTACCCAGAGTCAGCTTTTACATTAGATCATGTCTTTTCCCTGATTAAAAACTTCAACACCTGATCCTACTTCTAGCCCTCCAGTCTCCTCTCTATGCGCTATAAGGCCCTGCCTGGGCTCCCCACTCCCCGTGCATCCGCCCTCCCCTCCCTCGCTGAGCTCTGGCCACACTGACCTTCTTCCTGTTCCTCATGGAGGCCAAGCCCCTCCAGCGCCCCTCTGCCTGCAGTGCTCCTGCCAAGGCTTTTAGAAGGCCAGCTCCTTTTCCTCATTCCCCTCCTGGCTCAAGCACCATTTTCTCAGAGAAGGCTTCCTGGAGTGTCCTAATCCTCCTGCCAGTGAGTACCTCTTATAGGGCTTCTCAAAGCATAGTGCTGGATCAGCAGTGTCAGTGTGGTCTGAGAACTTGCTAAAAAATGGAAATTGTTTTGCTTTACCACAGACCCTCTGAACCAGAAGCTCTGGGACTGAGCACTGCAATCTATCCCTGAATGAAACTTTCCAGCAATTCTGAGGCATCTAAAGTTTGAGAAGCACTATTCTATCATATCATCAAATGACCACCTTCTGACTCTTCCCGTCCTTTGTCATTGTTCACTTATTCATCTGTTTTCACTAGACTGTAAGCTCAATCATGGTAGGGTCTTTGTAATTCTCTTCTAGTGTATCTCCAATATGTTGCACAGTGCTTGGTATTTGATAAGTTTTTTTTTAATAAGTGAAAGAATAAATGGATGGATGGTGGGTGGATGGATGGATGGACAAACTAGGAGAATGAAGAGAAATGCATTAAGGGTATTGCTTTCCTGGATTAAAGGTAACGCATTTTCTCTGGGACCAGTTGAGTTTAAGGAGCTGGTGGGACCTCATTGGGCTGATGTAGGTGGCAATGTCCCCCTTCTCACTGTTTATTCCTTATCATCTACTTTACTCCATGGGAGTGATCTAAATAATAACATGGGGCAGGGTTCCAGGCTGTGGGGACTTGGGAGCTGTCTGTGCTCAGGCAAAGGGGAGAATTCTGAGCTCAGAGAGTCTCAGCCTAGTCAGAGTAGAGGCCAAGTGGTCAGAGCAACCCCCCAGTCTCTCACTTGCTAAGAGATGTTGCCTCCTTGGCTGCACAGCGGCACTAGCAGGAGGCAGAGGGAGAAAGCAATCATGAAACTCCTGGAACAGCATCTTTAGAGGGACGGTATAGGCCAGGCACAGTGGCTCATGCCTATAATCCAAGCACTTTGGGAGGCAGAGGCCAGAGAATCGCTTGAGCCTAGGAGTTCCAGACCAGCCTGGACAACATGGTGAAACCCTGTGTCTACAAAAAAAAATAGATAAAATTAGCCAGGCTTGGTGGTGCATGCCTGTAGTTCTGGCTACTCAGGAGGCTGAGGCTGGAGGATCACCTGAGCCCAGGAGTTTGAACCTTCAGTGAGCTGTGATCACACCACTGCACTGCACTTCAGCTTAGGTGGGCAACAGAGCAAGACCCTTTCCCTCTTAAAAAAAAAAAAGAGGGAAAGTATAAACAGCCCTTGCATCATACATGGGCAAGGGGTGGGGGGAGACAGAGAGAGAAAGAGAAAGAGAGTCTATTGGGGAGGAGTATAGTGTAGTTCCTTCAATAGAATGGGGCTAATAAAGGTAGCGATGCGATGCCTGCCTCCCTTTTCCCCAATGTCTCCTAGCTCCTCTGGAGACTTCTGCTCCCTGACCAGAATGACAGTGGTGATTCATTGACATTCAATGACAGTACCCTGCTGCTCATCAGAGGGTGAGACATAGACCGGTGGATGACAGGGGTGAGTGTGCCAGGCCACTGGGGGAGGAAAGCAGCTGCCTGAGCAACATGTTCCCCCCCCCACCCCCAGCCCTGCTCCGTTGGCCTGGGGAGGGGAACAGAGATGCCCTGCTGGGTCAGAGAGGGAGGAGCAGGGCCTGGAGTCCAGCCTGGGATCCAGCCAGGGGAGCGCTGCTGGCTGAGAAAGAGGAGAGGAGCTGGAGATATTTATCTGGTCCTGCCCACAGAAAGCCCAGGCCCAGGGGGCCTAGCTCCGCCCCTAGCATTCAAGGTCCTGTCTTGCTCACCAGCTCTTGGTCGCCTCACATCTGTCACTGCAGCCAGGCTGGCTCCTAAGTGCCCACCCACCGTGCTCCATGCTTTTCACTTCCAGCCTTTGTTGGCGATAGCTCACGCCTGCCACCGGCTGTTCTTATTGCTCTGTCCTGCTACACTGGAGATTTCTGGAAGGTGAAGATGGAGCCTGATCTCTCTCTAGGTTCCCTGTAACACCTCCCAAGAGCTGGTATAGAATTGATGCTCCTTGAATCGGCATTAAGCAACTACATAAGCTTAGGTCTCCCCCTCTCTGAGGGAGCTCCCTCCCACCCTCAACCCTCCCTTTTTGAACATTTGCTTTGCTGCCTTCTTTCCCCTCCTGCACGGAAGCCCTGAATGCTGTCTACCCACTTGGAACTGACTCCTGGAAACCCAGCACAGAGCTTGTCACACAATCGACTGGTGGATGGAAGATATACTCCTCCATTCTGCCCCATCCCTCCGAAGTACACAAATGGATCTGGAGGAAGAGGCCAATTCAATCCCCTGCCTTGCCCACCTGGGGTTAGCAGACCACACACATGCCCTTCCCTGCTGCCAGGGCCTTATCTCCCTCCTCCTACCTGTCTCCGACCCTGGGGCCCTGCAGGATTGGATTGGGGAGAGCTCAAGGGCAGGTGAGAAAGAGTATATGGGTTCCCAGGTGGCCTGCCACCTCCCTGTGACTCCCATCTCTTTAATTCCCCTACTCATACTGGCTCTGCCTCCTCCTGCCGAGTTCCCACTGTTCCCTACCCCCACCCTTCCCAACTGACGCCAGTGGCTGGGCCCCGCCCCCACCTTCGATGGGGGAGTTGATGAGGATGACTCGTCCCATGGGTGATGAGGCTCGGATTCCGCGGGGGGGCCCGTTTAGCAACCGCTGCTGCTTCTTTAGCAGGTATCGCGTTGCGGTGGAGCCTGAGTCCCTGCTTAGGTGGCCTCGAGAGGAGAGGGAGCTTAGAGAGCCCGAGCTTAGGTCTCCTAGGCCCAGTGGATCGAAGCCCACTGCGAAACCATGCGCCATGGTGGCTGGGCTGGGGCGGCACCCTACGGGTCCAGAAGGAATCTGCTAGCCCTGGAGAGGCCAGCCCCTCGTGCTTCGAGCTCCATGAGCCTCTGTGCAAGGCTGGGGTCTAAGCAACGGAGGACCTCGCTTGCGCTGCCTCTCAGAAGTGTGAGCTCCAGGCCTGGACAGGGAGAGCAAGGACAAGGGAGGGGTGTAAATGTTTCCCCTGCTGCCCCCAGAACTTCCATCCCTCCCAGCTGGTTTAAGCAACCTGCCCTCCCATGCCTTAGGCTCCCCTCCTGTCTCACCCCAGGCCAGAGAACTGCCCTGTCCAGGCACCATTGTGGACTGTCGCTGACTACACAAGGCCGGTGGGAACCTTTCATCCCTCATTACTGCTCGCAGCTGAGTCATCTACTCTAGTCCCCAGTCCTCAACAGAGGTTGAGAGTGGAGTTGGGATTACTGCGGGCCCTTGGACTTCAAGCGGTGTGAGACAAAAGAGAGGTCCAAACAGTTCATGGCATCACCTCTCTCATGCATATGTTGGCACGGGGTGGCCTGAGGTGGTGGGGGTGGGGGGGCGTGGACCTTAGACAGCTGGGGCCGAGGAGGCCCCCCAGACACCCCTGGGCTCGAGGCTGCGACTCTGGGTCTAAAGAGGTTGCATAGACCTCTCCCAAGCTTAGGGGGAGGATCAGCTGTAGAGGGGTCCCATGACATCCTGGGCAAAACCTGGGGCCAATTCCCTCAGAGAAGCTCTGCGACCCAGAATGCAGCACCCCAACCCCAACTCAGCCCTTCAGGCCCGCCACCCCTTTGTGTCTGGCGCCCCCTCACCTGGTCGCTGGTGCGCCGCCGCTTGCCTTGCAGGCAGGACCACCCGCAGGCGAGAGCTACCGCTGCAACCGGCAAGCCCGCCCACTCTCAGCGGAGGCTGCGGGAATTGGGCTGGCCTGTGCCGCCCCCAGCTCCTATTGGCTGGTAGGGCCGCCAGTCACTCCCTCCCGGCACCTCCCATGGGCACTGGATACAGCCGCGCGTTACCTGGTCCCCAGTAGCAGAGTTCTTTACCCGCCCCAGTTCTGGTTCTAACGCCCCATCGCATCCTGTAAATTTAGGGCTTGGATCTTGGCTTGTTCCCCTCCTGCTCGAACTACCTCTTCTCCGAGCCAAGCCAGCTAACGGGGCTCCTGGAATTGCCACCCCTCTGCGGGCACCCTTGAGGTCTCCATGGGGTGATGTCACGGGGCAGAGCTGGACGTGAGCCTGCATTTGCTGCAGGCATGCTCTGTGTGGTGACTGGGTAAGTTGTGAGTGTGTGCATGGCTGCGGGGTGCTTTCTTCACTTGCATCCTCCTCCTCTGTCAGAAGGTGTCTCTGGCCACCCGGTTGTGGAATGGTCGCAGGGTGGGGCGGCTGGTCCCAGGACAGGAAGAATCCTAAGAATCCTTCTGATGCACTTGCTCGGATGCAGACCACAGGGTTACTGGGGTTGTCTGCCCCTCCACATCCCAGGGATGGGGCTACCGTCTGGGGTGCAGGGCTAAGGGTTGGGAGTGTAAGGAGACCAGGGACACAGTGGAGCTAGGGGCTAGAGAAGGGGAGCAGGGAGAGGGCTGGGGACATGGAAGGGGCACAGGCATGCCAGGAACGGGGCTCTGAAGTGATGCGAATGCCGAATGCCGTGCTGCTGCAAGAAGAGCTTGTGGGTACCGGGTTAGGAGCCGAGTGGGGCAAGCAGGCAGAGGCCATTGCCAAGGCAGCCAGCAAGTAAACAAGCCAGGCGGTAACCCGAGTCCCTCCCGGCGTACCAGCAGAGGACCGCCCCTCCATGCCGCCCACCTGTGCCCTGGGCTTTCTCTCTGGACACCTAGACTCCTGGCTTCAGGCCTGGGGCCTTCCTAAGCCCGCCAGGGGGCTGTATGCAAAGGAAACAGCGCCCCGAGGCTCTACCCATTCCTCTCTCTGGCTGGGGAGGGGGCCGGAACTGATCCCCAAGGTATGATTGGCTCTAGAAAGCGGCTTAGGGCCTAGTCTCGGTGGCCCGGACTTGGGGCATTGCCTCAAATGACACCCACCGCCCCCAGGCTCTGCCAATCCCCGGGCCCACCGCTTGGGCGCGGCCGGGAAGCTCACGCCCCTCCCTGCTGATCGGCGTCAGGCGTGACGTCCAGTGTGATGGCTGGGAGGGCCCGGCGGCGGCAGCGGCAACAGCCGAGGCAGAGAGGAAGGCGGTTCTGAGAGCTTCAGAGAGCCCTGGAAAGCGTGAGTGCTCGCTGTCCCAGGCTGGCAGGGTTACAGAATGGGGGTCAGAGAAGGGGGCCTGCCTTGAAACTGTCCTGGTGCAGTCAGTATCTGCCTCTATGCAGGTCCACAGGGCACAAGGGAGGTTGGCGGAGGAATGTCAGGGTGGGGCTGTGTGTAGCCACACATTCAAGTGTCTTCAGATGGGCCCCGTGTGTGCCTGTAACAGTCTTTGAGGACTGATGTATACCGGGCACCTCCGTGCTGTCTGTATGTCTAGGTAGGGCGTGCATGATGGTGTCATTGTGTGTGGGTATGTGAGTGTGAGGGGAGGGCGTGTCTGCCTCCGTGGGAGGAAGTGTGGCTGGAGAGGATTAGTCATTCTGTAGGATTCTGCCCAACTCAGCCAGATGGCTGCGCCAGGCTTTCCTCTCTGTGCTGGGTGGAGGGAACGACCACTGAATCCTGCTCTTATCCAGAGGCAGGTGGCTCAGAGAGAGGTGGATGAGTGTCTGTGCCAGCTCTGCCTGGCCAGGGACCACGGAGAGCCTGGGGTCATTCAGCGTGAGTTGGAGAAAATGGGTCTGTCAAGGGGACTTGTGCATGCTCACATGCACACACAGCCTGACATCAGAGTCCCCTGATTGAGATCTGGAACAGATAAGCCCTGGGTGGCCAGTAAGGCCTTGTTCTCCTCCAGTCAGGGACTGGAGTGTGGGACGTCTTATGCCATCTTTCAAAAAAGCCTTGGGGGTTTGTATCCAGGTCTCAGGGCAGCTGGGGCCTAAAGCTAACCTGAGCATGGGTGTGTAATGTATACATTATATATTTTTGTACATCTGCAGCACACGTAGCTGGGATGTCGCTGCTCATGTGTCTACCATACACATGTGGATCCTCACTCATGAAAATCTGTACCAGGACAGAGCACAAGGAGATCTGTTTTCCTGTTTCTGGTCTTCCCTTCCCCCTCCTCCAGCCGCTGCAAGTCCCTTAGCCCGGACATTGCCCAGGAAACAGCTCCTCCCCACATTCTTGCTTACCTATCTAGAGTCACCTTGAGCTCTTGAAGGGACTGATGATAAGCTTAGGGGCCAGGGCAGGGGCACCAAAGCTTCCCCTAGCTGGAGCCCTTGGACCCTTGGACCCTCACTCTGACCCTTGTTTCTGTCCTGCAGAAAATGGGTGAACTGCCTTTAGACATCAACATCCAGGAACCTCGCTGGGACCAAAGTACTTTCCTGGGCAGAGCCCGGCACTTTTTCACTGTTACTGATCCTCGAAATCTGCTGCTGTCTGGGGCACAGCTGGAAGCTTCTCGGAACATCGTGCAGAACTACAGGTGAACCCCCCACCATCTGACCCTGTGTGTCAGGATCTCATTTTCTGTGATTAGTATGTTTGTTACCTGCCTCCTCAAGCTTAACAGTGAGCCTGTCCCTCAATCCCCTTCACTCTCTGGCCCCCTCTGCTGGCATCACAGATAACTAAGGTACAGAGCTTTAACTCAAAGGATTTTAGGTCATTTCGATTGAGAAGATGGCATTAATACTTATGGGAGGGGGTGCTCTATGTTTCACAAACCTCTACAGGGACCTATCCTGTTGCTGGGTCACCCTCTGCAAGAATAGAGGTGCTCAAAGTGGAGTCCCAGGAAGATAGGAGGGAATCCTCCTTATCTTTGGGAGGAAAAAATTCTTACAATGCTCACAGCCATTTTTGACCCACTGGAAACAACCATCACCCATGGCCCAGCATTTTGGCAGAAACAGAAGAGTACTCCTCTTTGTGTGGCTAGAAGGGAAATAGAAATAGGAGCCTCCATTTCTGGGAAACTTTGGCCCTCCTCTAAAGACAAGGAACTCACTTATGCTGAGATTGGGGGCTGAAGTTCCTGGTTCTCTGTCCAGTTACCCTGCGCTGGGCAGGTGGGGCCTGGGAGGGTGGATCTGCCTTCTGACACAGCTCTTGAAGGGACTGACAGTAAGCTTAGGGGCCAGGGCAGGGGCACCAAAGCTTCCCCTAGCTGGAGCCCTTGGACCCTTGGACCCCCACTCTAACCGTTGTTTCTGTCCTGCAGAAAATGGGTGAACTGCCTATAAGACAACAACCCAGGAACCTCGCTGGGACCAAAGTACTTTCCTGGGCAGAACCCGGCACTTTTTCACTGTTACTGATCCTCGAAATCTGCTCCTTGCCAACTTCTGCAGGGCCGGTGTGGTAACCCCAGGGATCACTGAGGACCAGCTGTGGAGGGCCAAGTATGTGTACGACTCCGCCTTCCATCCGGACACAGGGGAGAAGGTGGTCCTGATTGGCCGCATGTCAGCCCAGGTGCCCATGAACATGACCATCACCGGCTGCATGCTCACATTCTACAGGCAGGTCTTGTTGCATGTCTCCTTTCTGAATGCCCTGAGCTAGAGCAAGGCTTGATTAGGTGCCTCTTGTCTGGGCCAACTGGGGCAGAGTAGTGGGTGAATGAAAGGTTGTGTTAGAATCCCTTCCATTCATCAGAACTCAGCCTTGGGAGTTCAGTTGCCCCAGAGACAGTAGGTGTGTTTGTATAAATGGAGGGGGTGGGGCACACTGCAGTTACTAGAACCGGTTCCAGGGCTATCACCTGGGTCCCTTCTTAGGCTTGGAGAATAACCTTTGGTTTCATTACAGGGGCCCAAAGATGAGGGCCACTGTCGAGGGATCAGAAGTGAGTGTCTTTGTTCCCTCAGGAAGACCCCAACTGTGGTGTTCTGGCAGTGGGTGAACCAGTCCTTCAATGCCATTGTTAACTACTCGAACCGCAGTGGCGACGCTCCCATCACCGTGGGGTGAGAGTCAGCCCCCAGCAGCAGTTGCACAGTCCTGTCCGACCCTCCTCTCCCAGTCCACAAGTGCCTTCTCCTTTCTCTCCCGTTCCCCTGTGGTTCATGCAGCCAGTGCTCAGCACCCTCTCCTCAGCCTGCCCTGCCTCAACTTACCCTGCCTAACTGAAGGCATGAGGTCCTCTTGTGTATGCTGTGGGGGACCCAGCCCTCTTCAAAGGGTGCGACTGGGGCTTCCAGACAAGTTCAGGCTGGAGATGGAGGGAGGGCTTGCTCTGAGATGAGCTTCCCCTTCTACGCCTCATGTGTTGAGAATCTGGCATATTGCTAAAGGAAAGGGCTGCATGCTGGACTCTTCACCTCTCTCCTGTGACCTGGCTCTTCTATCCACAGGCAGCTAGGGACAGCCTATGTGAGTGCCACCACTGGAGCTGTGGCCACGGCCCTGGGACTCAAATCCCTCACCAAGGTAAAGGCCTCCACTCCCCTGGCCCCCCATTCATCCTCTGTCTGCCTCCTCCTTCCTCATCACACCTCCAGTCCTGACCTATATGTCCCCATATCTCCCCAGAGTCCCTCACCACCCCATGGCCCTCCAGGCCACTGAACAACACCCTTCCTCCCCAGCACCTGCCCCCCTTGGTCGGCAGATTTGTGCCCTTTGCAGCGGTGGCAGCTGCCAACTGCATCAACATCCCCCTGATGAGGCAGAGGTCAGTGGCCCCGACTCCTGGCATATGCATGCCCAGTATAATGTAGCACACTGTCCAGCCATGCAGACTGACTCAGAATGGGGATGTCCCTCTCCCTCCTTAGACATGAGCTGCTGGGTCCTGGCTCAGTCTGACCCTGGGATCCTCAGGTGGGAGAACCAGCCTTTGAGTCTGGGGTGTGGAGGGGAACGCTGTGAAGCTGCTGCCCATTTGGGCATTGCAGACGGGATCTGATGCCAACCCCCTTCCTTTTGCAGGGAGCTGCAGGTGGGCATCCCGGTGACTGATGAGGCAGGTCAGAGGCTTGGCTACTCGGCGACTGCAGCCAAGCAGGGAATTTTCCAGGTGGTGATTTCAAGAATCTGCATGGCGATTCCTGCCATGGGTAAGGCGGGAGTGGCTGGGTGGGGCATGGGAGGCTCTGAGAGAAGCAGGTGCAGTCAGGGGCTTTGGAGGACTCTGGGGAGAGTGGGAGATGTGAGGGGTCACCCTTCACAGTTTCTGACTTTGACTCCACTACTAACTCTCTCCTTCTTGGCCCTGCTCTTCCCACAGCCATCCCCCCACTGATCATGGACACTCTGGAGAAGAAAGACTTTCTGAAGGTAGGTGACTCTACCTCTCCTGTCCTGGAAGTGGTGGTGACTGGAAGAAGTGACCAGTTCCCAACCCTCTCTCCAGCCTGGCCTGACTCTCTAAGACTTGCCAGCCCTTCTCCTGAGCCCTGCACCTCCCCCTCCCCCTTCATTCATTCCACAAGAGTGAACCAGGCTGAGGTAAAGGAACACTTCGGGGGCAGGAGGAGAGGAGAGGATGAGGGAAGGAAACCAACTTTCCCAGTGTTACTTCAGAGGCTTCTGACACACACACAGGCTTCTGTCACAGCCACACTGGATCTCATGCTCATTCTCTCACCCCCGAGTGCCTCCATACTTAGAGGTACACATGGCCGCACAGGCACACACAGACACAAACAGGACACAGAAGCAAAGCACAGGAACAAGCTCTGGCTTATTCACGGAATTATTTATTTACAAATGGACTGAGCAGCAACTCTGCACCAGGCATGTTTTAGGGCTGAGGAGACAGCACTGAACAAGATGGTTATGGCCCCTGTCCTCATGAAGTTTGTAGTCTGATGCAGAAACAAGTAAACATGGAGGCATCCGATAAATACGTTCCTTTTTTTTTTTTTTGAGATTCAGTATCACTCTGTCACCAGGCTGGAGTACAGTGGTGTGATCTCAGCTCAATGCAACCTCCACCTCCTGGGTACAAGCAATTCTCCTGCCTCAGCCTCCCAAGTAGCTGGGACTACAGGCATGCACCACCACGCCCGGCTAATTTTTTTTTGTATTTTAGTAGAGAGAGGGTTTCACTATGTTGGCCAGGATGGTCTTGAACTCCTGATTTTGTAATCCAACTGCCTCGGCCTCCCAAGGTGCTGGGATTACAGGCGTGAGCCACCACCACCCAGCCAATACATTCTTGGAAATTATAATACATGCTTTGTAGGAAAGCAGTAGGGCAGTGTAATTGAGATTCATGGGGGAGAGCTGTGTAGATAGGATGGTCTACACAGAGAATGGGTCTCTAAAGCCCCAAAGGATGAGAAAGACAGAGCCAAGGAATGCAGAGAAGAGTTTGGGATAGAGGAAAGTCAGTGCAGGGGCACTGCAGCAGGAGGGTTTGCACATTTGAGGAACAGACTGGTGGTCCCTGTGGCCAGAGCAAATTGAGAAGAGTGCCGAGGAGGAGATGTGCTTGGAAAGGGTCAGATCCATGCCACTGGGGTGGAAAGAAGTGACTGGAGGTTCAGAGGAGGTTTCCTGAAGAAATCAGCTCCTGGAGGAAGTGAGGGAAGAAAAAAGAAGGCCAGGGAGTGACATGGCAACCAGTTCTGAGAGGTGGGAATGTGTCATGGGGTGGCAGGGAGGGTGATCAGCAGACAGGCCTGGCTGGAGTGGAAGGGTACGATCTGGAGGTCCCAGCCCTGTCATCGCCTTGGAGGAAAGAAAAGGGCCACAGTTCCAAGGGCCCCAGGGAAAGGCTAATGGGATAGAGCCATGGCAGGTGAAATGGGTAACAGTTAGTGAGGCAGGAGACACGAGCCATTCCATTGTCTCTCTTTCTCTCCATAGCGCCGACCCTGGCTGGGGGCACCCCTGCAGGTGGGACTGGTGGGCTTCTGGTAAGTATGCAAGGAGTTAGCTGGGGTGTGTGGGAGTGCCTTATCCATGGTGGATGTGGCTGGGTATGAATTGCCTTTAAGATGTTTATAGACAGCTGGGTGCGGTGGCTTACACTTGTAATCCCAGCATTTTGGGAGGCCAAGGCAGGTGGATCATCTGAGGTCAGGAGTTTGAGACCAGCCTGACTAACATGAAGAAACCCTGTCTCTACTAAAAAAATACAAAATTAGCCAGGCATGGTAGCACATGCCTGTAATCCCAGCTGCTTGGGAGGCTGAGGCAGGAGAATCGCTTGAACCAGGGAGGTAGAGGTTGTGGTGAGCCAAGATCATGCATTGCATTCCAGCCTGAGCAACAGGAGCGAAACTCTGTCTTAAAAAAAAAAAAAAAAGATGTTTATAGACATCATCCATTCATACATTCAGTAGGTGTATGTCTTGGACACCTGTAAGGGTCTGTGAGTGTGTTAGGGGGTGGTCCCTGTTCTTGAAGGTCAGGCATTTAGTTGAGGGGGTTACAGTCTTCACCTATAAGAGGAAACCATGGAAATGTACCTTTTGGTGCCATCCAGCAGTTTCATGCCCATTTAATTCCAGATTCTGCCACTTAGACTGGCTGTGGGGGTCTCTTTCCTCAGAACCTTATGTCCAGGTTGGGTTTACTATTCCTAAAAGGTCCTTTCAGCTTTAATCAATCTCCACCCCTAGGGGCTATCTCCAAGGATGGGGCGGGGTACAGGGAGGGAACACCCTAAGGCCAAAGCTTTACAAACCTTCAACACTTGTCTCCCCCAGCCTGGTGTTTGCGACCCCCCTGTGCTGTGCCCTATTCCCCCAGAAGAGGTAAGTGCTGTCGCTGGGCTGGGCGGGGGGCTCTGGATTGGACTCTGCATCTCTGGACCAGCTGACCTAGGATCCTCCAGTGTGTTCAGGAAGGAGGCCTGTCAGGCACTCCGCGGATTCTGGGAGTGGGGCAATGACAGTGAGCCAGTCCTTCTGGCAGTAGAGAGGAGAGAGGATTCTTCAGCCTGGGAGGAGGTGGGATGGCAACCCCTGGGCCTGAGTGGGGTTGGGTTCAGGGGACATTAACTGGACTGTGCTGTTCTATTGCAGCTCCATACACGTGAGCAAGCTGGAACCAGAGCTGAGAGCTCAGATCCATGAGCAAAACCCCAGTGTTGAAGTGGTTTACTACAACAAGGGGCTTTGAGGAGGGTCAGCCTCTGTCCCTCCCTCACCTCCTTGGGCTATTGCTTTAGTGGAGTCATGTCACCCCTGCCACTTGCCTAACTGCCTCGCACTGGGCAGGAGCCTTGGTGAGCAGATGGCCATTGAGGGTAGCTATCTATTAGGCTGGGGGAGATACCTCCATAAGGCTTTTCCTCCCCTTTCCTCTGGTTGCAAAGAGCAGAGCACATAACCCCTCCCTCCTGTGCTTGAGTGTCCACACATATACATACATGATACATGTGTGTATGTGAACGTTGGATCCTGAAAGCTAAGAGCAGGAATGCTATCCTGGTATGTTCTGACATCTGACTTCCCTTCTCAGCCTCACATCCACCTGCCTGTAAGCCAGCCTACAGGTGGGACTTCCTTCTCTAAACTGTTATACCAGCCAAGTTATTTTTGGTGGTACCTCATCCCTTTTAGACATCATAGGAGCCCCAGGACCTCAGGACAGAGACTTGGAGACATTAGCAGGACAAAGTGGGCTGAATCCTTCAGGTTTCTGATACCTAGCTCCCCAAGCCGACTGGGCTTGGGACAAGGCATGTTGGGACAAGGCAGGGGACTTAGGCATTCCTTAGTGCCATCGCTTGTATCCTGGAACAGCTCCATTTCCCCTCCTCCTCTCTACCAAAGGAGTGTCTGTGTCCTGTACTGCCCTTGCTGTCTCCCCCACCACCCCACCCTGCAGCATGGGTATCTTCAGGGACAGTCTTGGGAGCTCCTGGTGTGTTCTGACATCATGACCTCAAATCTAAGTCCTATAATCCCAACTCCCTTCCCCAACCAAAAAGCCACAAAGGCAGAGCAAGCATTCCCCTTTAAGAGCTCCCACTGCACCCCTCCTGAAGGACACAGCTGTAGGAATGGTGCTTAAATTCCATAGGTATCAGAGAGGGTGTAACTACCACATTCTCAAAGGCAACTACGCCCCAAATGTACAATGTTAAGACAGGGAATTTAGTGTTCCATTGTCTTGTCTTTTTTTTTCTTTTGATGGTATTTCACTCTTTTTGCCCAGGCTGGAGTGCAATGGTGTGATCTTGGCTCACTGCATCCCTCGCCTCCTGGGTTCAAGTGATTCTCCTGCCTCAACCTCCCAAGTAGCTGGGATTACAGTCAAGCATCACCACATCTGTCTAATTTTGTATTTTTAGTAGGAATGGGGTTTCACCATCTTGGCCAGGCTGGTCTCGAACTCCTGACCTCAGGTGATCCACCTGCCTTGGCCTCCCAAAGTGCTGAGATTACAGGCATGAGCCACCACGCCCAGCCTGTTCCACTAACATTTGTTAGACATTCAGCAAAACATCCCACTTTAACTTTTCTTTCTTGAGCCTTGGTCCTGTACCTACCTCCATTCCCCCCCCCCCCCAGAAGAGGAAGGGCCCAGGCTTCAGTGGCTAGTCCACATAAAAGATGGGCTTGGGGATGGAATGGGTGGTGGTAAGTTCACAGAGTGTAGTCAGATCCCAACTCCCATGACCTCTGACTGCAGTGGTGGGTGGGGCAGGGCAGATGAAAGGGCTCCAGTGGGATCCTCTGAGAGCATTTTCCTGCTTCCCCCATCAACCTGCTCCAGTGATAACATCTATGAAGCCAGCTGTTACTCAATAAACTGCAAAGTTGTCTACTTCTTGGCCTTCACTTGATTCCATGTCCTGAGTGCCCAGAAAGGGTCTTTTGGTTGCAGACTTCCATCTGTTCCCTCTAAGTCAAGGTCTCATTCCTCCCTTTGTGTAGGAGTCTCATCCCCCAGCAGAGGGAGCTCTAAGATTAGAAAATCGGTCCTCACACTGGCACCCCAAGTATGTACTCAGGTAGAGGGGGAATGTAGATGCTTTTGCCATGTCTTTCTTTTCTTTTTTATTTTTACTTTATTTCTTTTCTTTTCTTTTTTTGACACAGAGTTTCACTTTATCACCCAGGTTGGAGTACAGTAGCACAATCACAGCTCACTGCAGCCTCGACCTCAAGGGTTGAATTGATCTTCCTACCTCAGCCTCCCAAGCAGCTAGGACTACACGAACGCACCACCACACCCAGCTAATTTTCTGTATTTTTTTGTAGAGATGATTTTTGCCATGTTGCCCAACTCCTGGGCTCAAGCCATCCACTCACCTTGGCCTCCCAAAGTTCTGGGATTACAGGGATGAGCCACCATGCCTCGCCTAGATAACCAGTTTAAATTTCATCCTGTTCTGTCAATCACCAAGCCCAATGGAGTTCTTGGTCAACTCTTGAAGCTCTGTCTGCAGTTACAGTTTTGGCCTTTGGCAATTCCCATGAAAAGAGGCCTTGTGGTGCCAAAAACCGCAATCACTTGTGCACCAACCTAATACTTTACTAGAAAAATCTATGTAAGATAACCCTGTCTGGGGAGTGAGGTACAGAAATCTCTGCAAAACAAAACCCTTAAGAACATTTATAATAGTTATCTTTACTCCACAGATAACAATAAACCATGTCAGAGAAAAGATTGGCCAGGGCACTAGTGGGCTTCTCTGTTATCTTTCCTTCCTAATTCCACACCAGTTTCTCAAATACATCAAAAGAGTTAGCTATAGGGCACATCACAGGCTTTCAAAGGACAAACCGTAGCCACTTATACCTTCCAAACTGCCTCCATATACTTGGAAATTTCCTCAGAAGTCAACATTTGGGTCGAGGAGCAGCACGTTTTTCACTGGAAAGTGCTCTGCCCCATTCTTGGGTGGGCCTCCTGTCTTCCTCCCAGAGCTTAGACTCCAGGAACCTTCTCTGGAAGCCTGCATTGGTGTCCTTGGCCTTCCCTTCCAACTTCTTCCCCTTGCCTGGCCTCATCTGCTCCAGAGCCCTCATCCTGCCTATTATGAAGACCGGAAAAACCACAACCTTCCCTCTGTCCCTGTTCTAAGTTTAGGCTGGCCATAGGGAGGGGTTCAAATGGGCATATCCTACTCGTTTCCAGAATCACCAGAACCAATGAGGTCGGCTTCCTAAGGACAGGTGGTCAAGGCCAGCTTCAGCTCTGGCACTGTGGGGCTATGCCAGACTCTAGCCTAGTCTGGCTGGGTCGGTGCCCTGCAGGTCAGAGCCAAGCCCCATTTCTTCCCAGCGAAGTTTGTCAATTTCAAGCCCCGCCCCCGAAACCTCGCGGTCAAAAATAAGCCACGCCTTTCTTGGAACATTGCCAGTCAGAAGCAGAGTCCCGCCCCTGCTGCGGTTCCCTGTCAGTCAAAGCTAAGCTCGGCTCCGCCTCCTTCCCGTCTTCCCGAGCAACGGCTTTAATGCCTCAGGCCCCGAGCCCCGCTCACCTTCCGGGTCAGAGTCTAGAAGCCACGTCTCAGATCCGCTTTCCCGCTGACCTCGATCCTGCGCCGCTAAATCCTCCAAGTCTCCCTCGCTCCTTTCCAATTTCGAAACCCACGAGTTCCCTAGCGCCAGCCCTTTGACTTCCTGCCCAGAAATCCGCGAGGTTTTCGAGGAATCACGTGAGGACTCTCCTCTTGGATCCCAAGATCGGATTTTTTCAGCTGCCTCTGAAGCTGTTGGCTCTTTCTCTGGCGCCGTCCTCCTCCTCTCCCTCTCTCCACCCTTGCGCCTAACAGCCCAGTAAACGTTTGCTGAACTCTTTAATTGTGGCTCTGTGGCCGACATTGGGTAGAAATGAACGGTTGGGTGAACAGAGACGCTACCCTCCCACCTGCAGGGACACTGCGCGTGCCAGAAAGGCGTGAAGGACAACCGTTGGCTAGGAATTGTGGAGGAAACTTAATCCAGCTGTATCATCCAAAAAGGGGAGCTTCCTAAGATGTCCCTTCTCTCTTCCTTTATACACATCTTTTCCCTCTCTGGGGCTCTCCTAGGCTCCAGTCCCAGCTCAGGCTGCCAGAGAGACAAAGGCAGCCCCAGCTCCAGGCCACAGCCTCCCAAACCTTCCTCCTTCCTGTCTTCTCAGACCAGCAAGGTTTAGCAACTGAATAACGACCTGAAAAGGCGGGAGGAACCCTGCATAGCTTGGGTTACACACACAACTCCACATCCCACACATCCAATAGGAAAATAACCCCATGCCTTTAATAAAGAAACGAGAAGCCCCTTCAGGCTGAAGTGCTTGCTTATGGGGCAAGAGTTTGCTATGTTAACCTATAAATAACCCAGCTATGTTATTTTCCTTCTGACTTCCCCTCCTCTGTCACCAGCAAGTCCTCATCAATTGACAATTTTTGGTTCCCAAAAGGAACACTTTGGTCTGAGTTTTAATTGAGATTATTTTATTGAAACGAACAAAATAATTTTGGCTAGCTTCAGTAACTAGGGGAAGATATTGGAAGGATTCTGCTATAGTTTTTAGACCTAGAGATGGAGTTGAACAACAAGGGCTGGGAAGGACAGGAAGCTGGCAGCGCTGGGGTGTCCACAGCTGGAGTTTGTGGGCATTGCCACGGGGGCAGCAGCTCCAGTCTCAGCTTTCTCCAAGTTTCAAAAACTGGAACAGCTTAGATCAGTTGTGTACCTCTAGGAGGTGGCCAGGGGTCAGTGTCAAGTTGCAAGGACACTGGACATTCAGGTTTACCTCTGACTTTGGGGCTGTAACCAAAGAAGTGCAATTGCTGGGAATCACCCTGATTGGTATTTATTACAACCTGTATTACTGGCTTTATACAGATGTTTCTTTCCAGTTTAAATGAAAGCCCCACTGAGGGCAGTCACCATATCTTTACTTTTAAAAATTGTAGTAAAAAACACATGACACAAAATGTACCATCTTAGCCATTTTTAAGTGCAAAATAATGTTAACTATATTCACGTTGTTGGCTGGGTGTGGTGGCTCACACCTGTGATCCTAGCACTTTGGGAGGCCAAGGTGGAAGGATTCCGTGAGCCCAGGACTTAGAGACCAGCCTGGTCAATATAGGGAGACTAGGTCAATATAGGGAGACTGTCTCAAAAAAAAAATACCCATTCATAAACACCAATTCATATCTTTACTTTTAAATGCCCACAGCATCTACAATAGTGCCTGATCCATAGTAGGTACTCAATACTTGCTTGCTGAATAAATGAATGAGGAATCCAAAAGTGCCCTAAATCCCACCCACATATTGATCTCAGGTAAGGTCACGGACACAGTGGTTCTCAGTCTGTTTTATACCTCAACAAATGTAAAAATGTGATATCTTCACAACAAATGATGGCTCACAGCTTTAGTGATTTTCAGCCTGGAGGATGGGGAAGCGTGTCCTCCCAGGGAGGCATATCAGAAACTTGGGGGTAGTGTAGCTTGAAAAGTCCCCTGAGGAAGTAAAGCTTGCCCCCTAGTTTTTATAGCCATCAGGATGAAGGAAGAGCTCAGCTCCTCCCTCCCCTTTCTTTTTTCTCTCCAGGAGTTTCCAATGCAGGGAATGGGGTGTTGGAGAGAGTGTCTCATGTGTAATCAGAGCCACTCTCTCCAAGTCTGTTGTTTTTCTGTTTCCCTGCGCAAGCCAATGCCTCTTTCCTTTGGCAGTTCCCTGTGGGGCTGACCTGCCTTTCACATCTGCAGCTTCTTGGGACTGGTACCAAGCTGCCATCACTTAAGATAGGCTGGAAGGGAGACGTCTTCACCATACTGTTGTCCAGTTCCTAGAGAGTGGGCTCACAGTTGTGTTGCTTGGCCTTGGTGATATAGTTTCATTTTCATGACCTTCTTTCCAAGGCACAGGGGGGTGGGATGGTGATGCTGGTCAGTGATGGGTGTCAGGTAAAACATCACTCTGCACTCTACCTGGCAGCATTGCTTTCTAAATACTCAAGTCTTCTGAGTCTGGTTCATCCTGCTAGATTTGCTCATCAGTGATAATCTTTTTTCAGCGTCTCATTTCTGAACCCCTAGGCAGTCAGTTTCCTTTGCATATATCTGATCCCCAAACTGCGGAGAAGATTCAAGTGCTTTTCCTTTGGCTAAATCATCTGGCCTCTGTGTAATTATCCCAAACTTTCCAAGAACAATCCAGGAGGCGCATTGCATAAAGAGAGTAGGCAGACTCCTCAAATCTTCAGTCTCCAAACTGTGTGCTGAGGTAGCCCAGAGTGCCACAATGAACTCACAGTGCTACCAAAAGATATTTTATCTTTTTATGTTTTTTGGAGACGAGTCTTGCTCTGTTGCCCAGGCTGGAGTGCCGTAAGACAACCTCGCTCACTGCATCCTCCTCCTTCTGGTTTTAAGCGATTCTCCTGCCTCAGCCTCCTGAATAGCTGGGATTATAGGCATGCACTGCCACACCTAGCTAATCTTTATATTTTTGGTAGAGCCAGTGTTTCGCCATGTTGGCCAGGCTGGTCTCAAACTCCTGACCTCAAGTGATCTGCCTGCATCGGCCTCCCAAAGTGCTGGGATTACAGGTGTGAGTCATAGTGCCCAGCCCAAGACATTTTAATTTTTTGAGGGAATTGCAGCAACTCACGACATCTATTGGACACTGCCATGGAGTAGTGTAGAGTTTCAAGATTCGATTGTGCTCCATTATGTTTAATGATGTCTGCATCACTGGGCTTTTGATGGTTGCTGTGATAAAAAGAACTACACAGGCTGAGCAAATTGGCTCATTCCTGTAATCCCAGCACTTTGGGAGGCTGAGGCAGGCAGATGACCTGAGGTCAGGAGTT